CGAATGAGCGATTTGTCGGCCGAAGAGTTGTCGCGAATGGAACGGAACCGACAGAAAGCGCTACTTCTTCGGCAACAAAAGCAACAGAACCTGACATCACATGAGTTGTATTCGTTGGAGTCTAAAGCCGGCGCCCATTCGGCGACAGCCGGTTGTCACGACTCGGGCGGAGGTTTTCTCATCGATTCCGACGACGAAGACATTCAACGCAACGATAAGACGCGAACTAATGGTCAGACATCGGCCACTAATGGCGGCGATGACCCGCAGCAGCCGTTTGTATGCCGTGATTGCGGCCAAGAGTTCGGCAAATCGTTTCTGTGGTCTCACTTTCGGGAGAATACGTGTGACTCGTGTCGGGACCCGAAAGGCCGCCATTCGTTGATCACTCGAACGGAAGCAAAGAGTGAATATCTGCTGAAAGACTGCGATTTAGACCGAAGAGAGCCGTCGCTGGCATTCATTTTGAGACCGAATCCTCGAGAGTTCGCGCGACACGACATGCGCTTGTATTTGAGGTCTCAGGTCGAGGACCGGGCGCTTCAGGTTTGGGGCACTGAAGAGGCCATCGAAGAGGAGAGGGATCGCCGGTCGTCCGCCACTCAACGTCGACGACAGAAACAGTACGACAAACGGCTCAAGAGTTTGCGAATGACTGTCCGAAGCAGTGTCTATACGAGACCGACGGCCGCCGATCACTGCCATGACTTCACCGATGAGTCATATAATGAATTGGAGGACAGGTTTGAGAAACAGTGTAAAAGTTGCGGACATTTAGACACTTATGAGAAAATGTGAATTTCTGTATATTATTGTATTTTCTGTATATTATTAACCATTGATTCAAATTGTAATATAAATTATAGAGTTGTGATTAACTAGTAATGAAATCGCTGTATAAATACATTATTAAAATTCTAATAAAAGTTTTTTTAAATTTTATATTATTGTTTAACAATATGTTGTATATATTAAACATGAGATTTATGTTTAAATTATTTAATTCACTTAAATTTAAATCCATTTCATCAGAAAACTAAAATTGATTTCTAGAATAAGTGGTTGAATATATCGATGCAATCAATTATTAAGCATTTTATGCAACCCAAAGGTTGCAAACATGTGTCCACTAAAGACTGGGATCTCATTATGAAAAACATTAAGAACAGTACAAATTGCGAATCAATTTTGCTTATCGACGGATTCAATGCCCGACCACTATATGTGCCGTCGCATGACTTTTGCCATGACTTCCCGTACAATGAATTGTCAACAATTCCGCCGTTTTTCTGCGACCAAAAGAAATNGTGTGATAAAATTAAACATATTATATGTTTAATATTAAATGAAATAATTTCTTGGTTATAAAAATATGTCTAAAAAGTGATGTTATTATGCGTTTACATGTCTTGCGTTGACCAGCGGTAGGCCTCCTCTAAAGTGGACTCTTTGTTAGCGATTCTGTCGAAGTGTTTCTTTTCGAAGCCATTGGATCGGTCGACGCCATCCCATCGATAGCCGGGCCCTATACTGAACCGATTGAGTGGTGGCGGCGGTCCCTTGTATTTGGGCATCACTTTCAGAGTGCCCTCTTGTCGCTGCTCTTCCACCCGATTCTTGCGCATCATTGCCAGCATCGGGTCGTCTTCGCGCTCCTTATCTCTGAGCAATTTATCCAAATCCACGTCTCCCTCATAGCGGGCCAACGGTTTGGACATCTCATGCATATCCGATTCAATCTTCTCCTGTCGTTGTTGTGTTTGAACCAAACCTTTGGACCACTTGTCGTATTTGGCTTTCTTTTGGGCTTCAATTTTGTCTTTAATTAAATCCTTTTCGAACTGAAGTTTGGCCTCTTCTTCGAGGTTCCGAATTCGACCCGATTTTGAATCTCTGAAAACAGTTTTCGCATTTTTTCCTAACACTTCATCACTGATTGAATCGAAGAGTTTTTGTTCTCTTCTCTTAGTGGCCATCAGTTCTTCGCGTAAATGCTTTCCATCAGAAAGACCGGCTTTTTTGCCGCTTAGAGTCTTCTCGGGTTTCGTTTTGCCCTTTTTGTTATGAGTTCTCGGAGGAGATAAATCACTGTCGGAGTCATGTCTTACGCTATCACTGGTTTTATTACTGTATTGTCGTTTAGGCGACCGATTTCTTGTTGGCGACAGATCTCGTGAGTGATGGCGTGAATTAGTTCTATCCCTTGGATTTGTCTCTCTTTCTGGTGAGAGATCACTGTCTGTGTCGTGTCGGCGACGCTTAGGAGACAGATCTCTGTCCCTATTATTATCAATAGTTCTCGCGTTTGCCCTCAACTCAGACGTCGACCTAACGGGTGATAAATCACTGTCGGAGTCATGTCTTCTTCGTTTGGGAGATAGGTTTCCGCTGTGTCTTGAGTTGGCTTTAGAGTCCCCTTTTGTGCTCTTCTTTGTCCGAAGCGGTGATAAATCACTGTCCGAATGGTCTCTTCGTTTCCCTTTGGACTCATTTAAATTGTTATCAAATTCTTCGACATTTGGGTCGACCACTGTTTTCCATCGATTAGTGTCGATGTCTTTGCGTCTCATATGAAGTGGTCTGTCGTCGACAACTCCGGCGACAATCGGTTTCTCCTCTTTGGTCGCGAATTGCAGCTCTTCTTCGCTATCATTCGCTTCGATGTTCTTCAGGTCGATGTCGTCGTCAAAGATACGGATTCTGCGGACAAACAGATGATAATAATGAGTAAATTATAAGCAAAAACAAAGACATAATGAATTGCAATGAAAATTACTTTCTATTCTTGGGTTTAAGTATTTTCTTCATTTTACTCTTCTTTCTCTTCACTTCTTGGGACTCATTCGGTGACAAATACTTGAGTTTGAGGTATTCGTTGTGCTCAAGAGGTCTGTCGTATGATTTCTTAGACATAGTGTCCGTCTATTCGGCGATTAATGACAATTTGCAGCCAACTCTTGATTGAAGTGAATGTGTTTTCTTTGGCAACAAAACGGTGTAAACATTGAGTGAACACTAATTACGCCCAGAGTTTCACTCTATTGTGCAATACATGTGAAGCACTACTTGTCATAAGTATTGCAATAATCGGCACTTTTTATCCTCATTTCAATGTCTAATCGTTTGATGTGTTTGTAGTGTTTGTTGTCATCATATTATCACACATTTGACACTATTATGGACGCCATGTCTTCGTCCAATACTTCCTCGTCGGCCACAAAACGAATGAGCGATTTGTCGGCCGAAGAGTTGTCGCGAATGGAACGGAACCGACAGAAAGCGCTACTTCTTCGGCAACAAAAGCAACAGAACCTGACATCACATGAGTTGTATTCGTTGGAGTCTAAAGTCGGCGCCCATTCGGCGACAGCCGGTTGTCACGACTCGGGCGGAGGTTTTCTCATCGATTCGGACGACGAAGACATTCAACGCAACCATAAAACCCCAACTAATGGTCAGACATCGGCCACTAATGGCGGCGATGACCCGCAGCAGCCGTTTGTATGCCGTGATTGCGGCCAAGAGTTTGGCAAATCGTTTCTGTGGTCTCACTTTCGGGAGAATACATGTGACTCGTGTCGGGACCCGAAAGGCCGCCATTCGTTGATCACTCGAACGGAAGCCAAGAGTGAATATCTGCTGAAAGACTGCGATTTAGACCGAAGAGAGCCGTCACTGGCATTCATTTTGAGACCGAATCCTCGAGAGTTCGCGCGACACGACATGCGTTTGTATTTGAGGTCTCAGGTCGAGGACCGGGCGCTTCAGGTTTGGGGCACTGAAGAGGCAATCGAAGAGGAGAGGGATCGCCGGTCGACCGCCACTAAACGTCGCCGAGAGAAACAGTACGACAAACGGCTCAAGAGTTTGCGAATGACTGTCCGAAGCAGTGTCTATACGAGACCGACGGCCGCCGATCACTGCCATGACTTCACCGATGAGTCATATAATGAATTGGAGGACAGGTTTGAGAAACGTTGTAAAAGTTGCGGACATTTAGACACTTATGAGAAAATGTGAATTTTTGTATATCTGTATATTATTAAACATTGATTCAAATTGTAATATAAATGATAGTGATTAACACTTAACTCGCCATGCATTTGATAATAGTAATGAAATCGCTGTATAAATACATTATTTATTAAAATTCTAATAAAAGTTCTCGAGATTTTCTAAATTTTATATTATTGTTTAACAATATGTTGTATATATTATGCGATTTATGTTTATTTAAATTCACTTTAATTTAAATCCATTTAAATCCAAACCAGAAAACTAAAATTGATTTCTAGAATAAGAATATAAGCAATAAGTGGTTGAATATATCGATGAAATCAATTATTAGGCATTTTATGCAACCCAAAGGTTGCAAACATGTGTCCACTAAAGACTGGGATCTCATTATGAAAAACATTAATAGCAGTACAAATTGTGAATCAATTTTGCTTATCGACGGATTCAATGCCCGACCACTATATGTGCCGTCGCATGACTTTTGCCATGACTTCCCGTACAATGAATTGTCAACAATTCCGCCGTTTTTCTGCGACCAAAAGAAATTGAATCAATTTTGCTTATCGACGGATTCAATGCCCGACCACTATATGTGCCGTCGCATGACTTTTGCCATGACTTCCCGTACAATGAATTGTCAACAATTCCGCCGTTTTTCTGCGACCAAAAGAAATATATGAATTGGTTTTGGGATCAGATCCAACCCAAGACTTTCTATCTCCGTATACATGTGTGCAATGTGATGGAACTCATGAATAAAGTTGTCTTCAAATTTAGATCAAATTTGCATCAAATAAATTGTCATTTCTTTATATTAAACAAAGATTGCATCGAATTTTTAGTGAAAAACTGTCCCAATTTGGAGGCAATCAACTTTGAGAACACAATTGGCATTCACTTGGATTCCTGTCGTTTGTTTGCAAAACTTGTTAATCTAAAGTATTTGAATCTAAGCGGATGTGATATCTATGAGAGTGGTCTGGAAGTGATACTCAAACAGTGTAAACATCTTAAATCATTAAATATAAGCAATAATTGTGAGATAAAAGGTCGCTGTTTGGTTTGGGTGAATGCGTCGATCGAGAGGTTAGATCTGAGAGACTGTTGGAGATTAGAGTCAAAAGAGTTGATTGCAATGACGCGCTTAAGATTAGAGGCATTGACTGAATTGCTGGTCAACAGCGGTATTAACGACGAAACAATTGCGGAGATTTGTGATAATTGTCCGAATATAAGACATTTAAATATAAGCTTTGAATGTCTGGCGTATAGCGACCACTGCGGGCGACGAGTGTTGTCTGACTCTGGCTTTTGTGAAATGGCAAAACTCGACAAATTAGAGATCCTAACACTGAGACACGTGGGAAAGTTAACCGACACATCCTTACAGTGTATTCTCAAGGGATGTAAGAATATATCGCAATTGACACTCAATTTGAGACACAGACACCAACTGACTGACGACGCGTTCACAGATATAGCGATTCTGTGTCCAAATCTGCAATACTTGGAATCAGTTCACAACCATTTCATAGGAAAGCATTCATTGAACAGCATTTGTAAGATGGATAGTGTTGTGGCACTCGTATTGAGAGGCAAT